GGGGGGGGGGGGGGGGGGAGAGAGGGAGAAAGCCCGAGCCGGAAAGACGCACCCAGCAGCGGCCGGATCTCGGACAGATAGTCCGGGTTGTCGGTCTTCGGCGGATCGCGGCGGAAGTCCAGCAGGGACATGCGCACGGGTTGGGTGGAGATGAAGCCATCGGTCATGGCCCCGAAGTCGGCGAAGGTGTCCCAGCCCTCGATGTAGGCGATGCCATTGCGCTTGATGATGTCCGAGGGGCGCTTGCCATTGACAATCCCCTGGACCAGGAGGTTGTCCTGCTCCAGGATGTACCGATACAGGAGATCCACCACAGGAGCCGCATTGGTGGCGTCCACCACGGGCGGAATGCCCACCGGGCGCCGAGCCTCGGCCCAGAATTCCGGCAGGCCGCCGGCCGCATTGAGTGGCTTGAAGTCCAGCACGTAAAGAGCATCGCGCAGGAGCTCCTGGAAAGCCAGAGTGGTGCTGTTGATGTGCAGCAGCGGATCGAAGACCGCCCGCGCGGCCACAACATTGTTGATCCAGTAGCCCCACTCCCAGCCGGACTCGAAGATCATCTGGCCGGAGATCTTGGTGTTGAATTCCTTCTGCTCGGCGATCAAGCGGGGGCAGGGGGGCAGGGGGGCAGGGGGGAGGAGAAGGATGGTCAGAGGGGAGGGGGAAAGAAAAGCCAAGCCTGATAGTGACGAGCGGGCTCGAGAGAGCGAGAGAGAGGGGCAGAGAGAGAGAGAGAGACGGCGACACGAACCTCCTTCTCAGCGATGAGACGCAGGTCGCGGAAACGGTTCCACGCGTAGAGGGGGAGGAACAGGGGGGACTGCACCCATCGGAGGGGGAGGGGGGAGGTGTGAGCATTCGGTATCTGGCGAGGGTTTCCCATTGGGGTCAAATATGCCAGGGGGGCGAGGGAGGGGCAGCACACGCACCTGAATGTCGTATGTGATCCAATAGGCGGTCTCCGGGTAGAAGACGACCTCGCGCTCGCCCTTGCGCATCTCCTCGAACATGAAGTCATACATGAAGTCGAAGCTCTCCTGGGCATAGGTGGGGCTGTGAGGGCGGGTGCCAGGGCGAGGAGATGGGGACCCGGCGGGAAGGTCAGTACCCAGGAAGCGGGACACAGAAAAGAGACAGGGAGAGAGAGAGTGTCGGAGGCGCGAGAGGGGGGGGGGGGGAGAAAGGGAAAAGCACACAGGAGGAGCGGCCCCCCATCGGGAAGAGGACGCACGCCGGGTCGCCATAGGTGTACATCTGCACCGTGTGGGGCAAGATGCCGAGGCGCTTGTCGGCCAAAGTCGGCAGGAAGTTGAAGTTCAGCGGCTGACCGGTGACCGGGTCGAGGAACTCCTCGCACACCTGGTTCTTGGAGATGTGGACCTTGATGTGCAGCGAGCGGCCGGCCTCGGCCAAGTAGGCAGTTGCCTCGTTCATCCAGTTGAGCATGGTCGTGCAGCTGCCCTTGGTGAACTCGGAGAAGCCATTCTCCGTGGTGAGGAAGTCGGCCCCGGCCTCGAGCCACCAATCAACTGCATGGCGCAGGAGCAGGGGTGGGGGGGGGGGGGGTCATTGGTTGTCAGGGGGCAGCAGGAAGAGAGACAAGAAGAGGAGTAGAGAGAGAGAGAGGAAAAGAAATGGGACAGGTGGACGCACTGTTTTCGCGCATCTTCTTGACCGGGTCATAGTTCTCATCATTCCGGCCCTCGGGGCGACCGATCATCGTAAAGGAGTGCTGCTGAATCAGAGCGATGGGTACATCCTGCACGTTGGGCGTGTGGCGAGGGGATGGAGCCGTGGGGG